ACCTCTAATATAGCCACTTTCTGCAGATTTCAAATACCACTCGAATGCTTTTTTCTCGTCTTTTTGAATTCCTACGCCATTTTGATAACAATAACCAAGGCTACATTCTCCTCTATAATTTCCACCCTCTGCTGATTTCAAATACCAATTAAATGCTTTATTATCATCTTTTTGAGTTCCTATACCATTTTGATAACAAACACCAAGATTATATTGTCCTCTTGCGTTTCCACCTTCCACTGATTTTAAATACCACTCGAATGCTTTTTTCTCATCTTTTTGTATTCCGTAACCATTTTGATAACAAAAACCAATATTACATTGTCCTCTTGAGTTTCCACCCACAGCTGATTTCAAATACCACTCAAATGCTTTTTTCTTGTCTTTTTGTATTCCGATTCCATTTTGATAACAATAACCAAGATTACATTGTCCCCTTGCGTCTCCACCCTCTGCTGATTTTAAATACCACTCGAATGCTTTTTTATCGTCTTTTTGAGTTCCTACACCATTTCGATAACACCAGCCGAGAGTAAATTGGTTTTCTACGTTTTTACCCTCCACTGATTTTAGATACCACTCAAATGCTTTTTTCTCGTCTTTTTGTATTCCGATTCCATTTTCATAACATACACCAAGTTTAGGTTGTGCTTCAGCATATCCACTCTCTGCTGATGTCAAATACCACTCAAATGCTTCTTTCTCGTTTTTTTGAATACCTACACCTTCTTCATAACAATAACCAAGATGATATTGCCCTCTCGCATCTCCACCCTCTGCAGATTTCAAATACCACTCGAATGCTTTTTTCTCATCTTTTTTTATTCCGATTCCAGTTTGATAACATACACCAAGATTAGATTGTCCTCCAGCATATCCACACTCAGCTGATTTTAAATACCACTCAAATGCTTTTGTCTCATCTTTTTGAGTTCCTATACCTTCTTCATAACAAAATCCAAGATTAGATTGCCCAACAGCGTTTCCACTCTTTGCTGATTTCAAATACCAATCAAATGCTTTTTTCTCATCTTTTTGTATCCCGACTCCATTTTGGTAACAAAAACCAAGATTACATTGACTTCTTGCATTTCCACCCACGGCTGATTTCGAATGCCACTCAAATGCTGATTTTTCATCTTTATTGGTTCCAATTCCATATAGGAAGCAATTTGCAAGTAAATTTTGTGATAATAAATCATCTTGAGTTGCTGACTTCAGATATTTTTGAAAAGCTAATTTACTATTTTTGTCTATATTTATTCCATATTGATAAAAGAAGCCCAGTAATGTTCTTAAGTTTATTTTATCTTGATGATTGTGCAAAACAAAGTTTAATTGTATATTATCACAATTATGTGTAGCAATGTGGATACGCAGTTGCTGGACCGTTTTTTTCGGTGTTTCACTAGAATTGAGCATATTGTATAAAATATTCGATAATTCATTGACTATTAATTCTAAAGACTTTCCAGTAGTCGAACGTTCAGGATTTAATTGTAGCTGTAATAACAAGTCTTCTACATTTTCTTCATATTCGATCAAACTACTTTGAAAAGTGCTGATTGTAGCATTGTCTGATGAATCCACTGATAATTCTGATGAATCGTCTTCTTTTTTCAATGACAGCCACTCGATCTCTTTAAGTTTCTGTTTCACCTCGTGAATATTAGGTCGATTATCTGGCATATTATCCCAACACTGTTTATATAGCTCAACGTATTTGCTAGGCGTCCCGGAAATTGTAATTTCTTTTTCATCTGTTGGATTAGAACTTGTATACCCGAATTGGTTTGTTGGAATGCGACCGCTAGATATGACCCAAAAGAGAATCCCAAGGCTGAAGATATCAGATTTTTCGTCTCGACGATAATTCTCAATATCCAGTAAAAATGCCGGATCAATATAGCTTATAATTCCTAAACATGTTCTGGAATTGGAGTAATCATTTGAAAGTTTTGAATATCCTAGATCCGAAATCTTGATTTTCTCTTGGTGCACGAGTATATTGTTATGATTCTAGTATTAGTAAAATTAAAATTAGAATCTCTTTATTAAAAAAATCTAATATTTTCTAATAGAAGAAAAATTTCATTACGAGATCCCTATGAATTATTCCGGAATCATGTATAATCTCTAATCCTTCAGCTAGTTGTAATGCTAGTTTTAATTTTTGGTCTCCGGTAAGTATTCGTTTATTAGCTGTTAAGTAATCCTTTAGAGTGCCACCGTCAGCATACTCCAAAACAAGTGTGTATCCATTCGTAGTTGGATCTATTTCACAAACTTTATAAAATTATTGCTCAAGGTTTAGATCATAATTTTTTATATTGATTTTTACCTTTTGTAATTCCATATAATTGAATAATATTCTCATGATGTTTGAGTTTTATAAGAAATTGTAACTAATAATGATAATTTATCACCAGCATCAATATACAGTATATCGATATTAATTCTAGTATTTCATTTTATTTATTTCAAATGTAGTTACCTCTCTAATGAATTTCTTATTTATTTCTTTTTTGGATTTTTCATTTTTTATCAATCTTTTTAGCGCAACTTTCAAATTACTATTTATCATATCTGCTTTTGATACTTCGCCAAATGCTCCGATGCCAACCACTTCCTTATTTATAAATTCTTCAAAGTCGTAGAATTTTATTTGTTTCTCTAGAATCGCCAGCTCAAGCCATTCGCTTCTCTTATATGAAGACGATGAAGCTATTGACACCATATTGTTGTCAATGTGTAGTTGCCTGAATTACAAAAGTGCTAAATCCATTTATCGTTGTCGTTGTCGTTATACATGTACAGTATTTTATTTTCATGTAACGGTAACGTTGACTTGCAACTGATTTGATCGATCAATTGCTATATATGGAAGTATTATTAAATTACGTATGTGTCGCGTCGCTCAAAATGCAACAAAATTAACCCAGAGCAACAATGATGTGAGACCGTAAATACATGTACGTATCAATTTTTATGCAACTGCCATCATGGAGCATACATGTATTTGATAAGAATCTAAGAATTAACGAGATGTAACCAACTTACAAAGCAGTTAGCATTTAGAGCAAAAACCGTGATTAGTATACGCGTCTGTAGTCTTGATACTAAATAAGAACCATTTAAATAATTCGTTATACGTACATGTATGTTACAATTAAATCAACTTATTTGTTTCTTGTTTATTGTCATAACTTGTTCACTTATTCTTTTCCTTTTATATTTTTTAATACTCTGTTTAGTATTAATAAATAATAATGTCAATAGATTCCAATCTTCCGATAACGATGCGAAGAAAACGGTTATTCAGTTCATTCACAACTCAAAGTGGTATCGGTATTATATCTAAATTTTTAAAAATTCACCAATTTAATATTGTAACATGTACATCTGTAAACACTAATAAAAATGATCTTTTACATATCAGACTTTTTCGTATATTTGCATAGATATGATTAATACGTGCAAGTTTTCTTAAGCATCAGGAACTTCTTATATGTCTCCGGACGTGTCCATAGACATTTACCCCATGTCTAGTGCTCCGCATGGGCCGGTTCGGTTCAGTACGGGTGAATAGCAACCCGAAATGAAAATAAATTAAATTAAATTTTTGGACTATAAAAAGTAAGGCTCCGAAAAAAAGTTTGGATCGGTTCGAGTCTGGTTCAATTTGAGCTTGCACCAGATTCGAACCTGACCAAAAGTCCGGTTCAAAATTCGAACCCAATTAAAAGTCTGGTTCGAGTTCGGTTCGAACTTCGAACCTGACCAAATGTCCGGTTCGATGATTTCTAATTAAAGTTGTAGATCATAACTAGAACTACAAATTGGTATAAGATAGTTAATATTTCAAATGAATATTCAAAATGTTATATAGTAATATGGGCTACAAATTAGTATAAGATAATTATATGAATAATAAATATTCGATGAGTTATATTGAATTTACAATAAAATTTAATAAATACCAAAATAAAAAAATTAATTGTCACTAAGCAAACTTTTATTTCTATAATTTGTACTTATAAATAAAGTTATAGCTCATATTTAGAGCTACAAATGAACTCCAAGTGTAGCAATCACTTCCCATAATAAGATATCATGCATAGCAGATCAACTTTATCATTCCATTTCTTTGATCTGGCAATCCTCCAGATCGTAATTCAAAAATTCACCACATGTGATTCGAAACTCACATTTTAGACCTATTAAAGATCAATTGATTTCTTGGTTAAATTGGTAATAGCAGATGCTAGACTTTGGTTTCTCCTTTGAAAATATTCAAAACTTTTTAATTAATAAAATAATTTATATGTTAAATGCCTTTTGTTGTCATATTCGTAAAATTATTAGAGAATGAAGTCTCAGAAATTGAATTTGCAATACATTAAAAATCATATGTTTAAGTACAATTTTTTTAATATACTGATAAAGATAAAAAATCAATAAACTTACTAGGTTTAGATTAAGCTTCGTATAACATTAACCTTTGTGCTTCTCTTTAATAATACAACTTATGAAATTATATGCTTAGAAACTCAAAGAAAAGATGCATTATAATACATGTAGTAAAGTTACATATTATATCTCGATTATGCATTTTTCTATTTCTGTAATTAAATTATTTAGTTCTTTTGCAAAAAACCTGAATAAATTCAAATATTAACCAATCATCAAAATGGAAAAAAATACAAGTTACCTCTTGAATTTTGTCAAACAAATTAATAATATTTTTTCTTCATTTTTATCAATATTACCGTTTTATTAAAATTAATTTTGATTTCTGTCCATTCTTCATTAGTGAACAATTGTCTGACTTCTCCAGATAAATCAAGAATTCCAAAAAACGCAGGACTAAGAAACCAATATGGAATATAAGTTGTAAGGAAAACTCCTTGCAAGCTTTAAAATTAAATACTTACTATAAATAAGCCTTTGTTCGGAATTTTTTTCTAAATGCTTCCAACACTTGAGACATTTGAAAGTGTTCACTCATCAAATTGAAATGTGTTTTCCATTTGTACAGCTTCTTCGGGTATTCCTTTAGTACTACTCTATTTAAACAACAAAAAAAGCAGTTTTTTATCTTCAACAGAATATCATTTAAAAAATCAGTATTTAAAAAGAATACTTGCCTGATTGCTATAATGAATTTGAATATTTCAATACTTGGTCTTTAATAACAAACAAAAAATCACACAATATACAAACACCATAATCGCCGTTTAAACGTAAATCATTGCAGTTTTATACAGCCCCCCCCCCCCCCGGAAAGTATTGGCCGACGGTTTTTTTTATTTTACATAATATCATTTAAAATTTTGTTTTTATAATATATATAAGTAAGATTAATTTTTTTAATTATTTTTAAATATTTTAAGAAATAATTGGTATTTTTTGGAATTAGCTAGATATAAATTGGGGAAACAATTTTTATTAGTTGGCAAAACTGATTTAATAATGTAGTTTTCGAATTATTGAGCTTTGTTTAGTGGCAACCCCTAACCGAATCGTTTGTAAAAAAAAACCTTTAATATCTCTAAAACCAGTTTCTTAATAAAGTTTTCGAGTATTATGAAAAAGTGTTCAGCCGATCGATTTACAATTACCATAAATATTTCAGAGAAGTAAACATTTTCTGTGATTTTTAATGTTAATTAAAAGTCAATCAGCCATTACTTTCTGGGGGACTACGAGCGGGAGGATCCTAATACATTAGTATTTTGATCAAAACCATTGACAGCTGACTTTAAAACTTCAAGAATATTTGTTGATCCATTGCCGCAATAATCTTTGACATTTATATTACTTACCTCGACAAAATCCTCCATAATTTCCTGTTCAGTTTCATCAAGATAATTCATGGAATTTCCCGAATTCGAATCCGAAGGATCAGAAGATGAAACATAAGATAGATCTGTTGAAGTCAGACTACTGATATTACTATCGCTATATCTGATTCTGCTTTATATAATTGTGATTTATGTGATTTCCGTCGACGTGACTCGTTTTCTACTTCATACTTTCTTTTAATTCAGACATTCTTTCATTTATAAGATCTTTGGTTCGGATTCAATGATATTCATATTATTTCCTTCAAAACAACCTTTATTTTGTGCCAGTTCATTTATTCTAAAAAATCATCTTGGTTTCTTTTTTGACAAATTTTCCAATATAGGCCGATCACCATTTATCTGTACATTAACGTTAATATACTTTAATATTCTAAATAACAAACACTTTTTATTTACTTGAAACTCCCGTAGCTTCATCAAGTTTATGGTGTGCATGACTCGTCCCAAGCTACCACAGCGGTGATTGCTTTTTATTTTTTTTATGATTTTTTAGACTCTGCCCCGGGTATATGTGCATTACCACTAAAGTGGATGGATGCACTACCGTAAAGGTAGAGGTGGATACCACAAAGGTAATTGCTTATTTTTTTTATGATTTTTTAGATTCTCTGCCCCGGGTATAGGTGCATTACCACGAAAGTGGATGGATGCACTACCGTAAAGGTAGAGGTGGATACCACAA